GTAAAAAATCTTAGCTTTGAAGTAAAAAGTAATGCTGTTTTTGAATAAATATAGCTTGACATAGAGAGCCTCTATAATTATGAGAGAGGGCTCATTAGAAAGCTATAACGTCATAGTTTTATCTTTGATTAATAATAATGTTTGAATTTGTTATAAAAATAATGAGATATTTTAAAAAACTGATTTGTTACACAAGTCAGATTTTCTATTTTATATATGTAATTACACTTCCTGTGACATATCGTTTGACTGATATCGATGAGATCAAACCACCAAAAAAATCTTTAGACGATGAAGATGCTCCAAAGTGGCCATTCTATATGGGGATTTTTGGAAGATCAAACACTGGTAAGACCAATATGCTGTTAAACCTCTTTAACGGGGATAAATACTATGATCTCAAAGAAGAATCAGAGAAAATTGGCAAACGTCATATACGTTGCAATGACCTAGTACTTGTGGGACATTATATTATATAATGAACCCAAATGGAAGTTAGTTCGAGATTTTTATAAGAAAATAGCAGATCGTTCCAAACCATATTATGAAGATGTTACATTTACTGCCCTTATGCCTGATAAAATTCCAGACCCAAAGCAGTTTAAAAATCCAAAAAGACGTACAGTAATTATCTTCAAGGATCTGTGTACTGAATCTCTAGTGATCCAAAATCGTATCATTCCATTTTTTAATAGAGGACGTCATAGCAATATCTCCGCCATTTATATTTCGCATAAATTTACACAAGTACCTCTAATCATCCGTGAAAATGCAACCCATCTTGTACTATTCAATGGGGGAGGGTCGAAAGATTCCATTCGACGCATTATTCGTCAATATATAGAAGAAGATCCACGTGAAGCTTCCAGAGTCATTAATAATTATTTGCGGAATGGTGAATTTATTGTCTTTGATACTACTGTACCAATTTCCAATCCTATGTCCATCAGAGTCGGATGGATGAATCCTCTAGATCTGGAAAAAGAGATCAAGTCATTGACTGCGTAATAAAGATATGATGGGTGATGCGATAGAAGAGGTACCTACAAATCGTTGTAATATACATAATTAACACTTGAGTATCTGAAGTATAATTTATTACTTCGAAATTGGTAATCCATCATCAGATTTAAATGTGGTTGAGTCGTGCTTGAAAGAAGTGATCTCTAAACCATCTATCAAACCCAAAAGACCTATTGGGGAAGACGAAGAGCAAATACCAAAAGGCACTACTGTTAGATACCTATTAAAACCTGGTGAACTAGAAGGCGGACATACACACTGAGCAACTGATCCATACTTCTCATTACGTGTTTATAGAATCAGAAAAATTGTTGTTGGAAAAAATCCGCCACAGCCAGTTTTATATTATCTTGAAAAGGAACCAGTTGAATCCACAAAACATTTTATGGGTAGAAATCCACGTCGACCATTTAAGCGCGAAGAATTGCAAATCGTAGATATGAAAAATCTTGAATATCTGCCAGACGAATTTATCCAGAAATATCATTATCAAACAAGGCCAATCCAGAGAAAACCATTATCAATTGGAACAGTTCTGGAGATATCCATTCTTGATTAGAGAATCTCGGATAAAGTTATAAAGATCTACGTTATATGGAATTTCGATAAGGCATATATCTTGCTCCTTACAGATATTCCGCTTTTTTTGATCGCGCTTTCTTTGCTCATATAAATCTTGCCCGCTTTTATGAAACATTGGATTAAGAGCGTAATGTTGTTTGCCATTAAATTCGAATGCCAGTTGCAATTCTTCGTTATATCCATCAAGCCGTAATCCATTCAAGAATTTTGGTGCACGAGATGGGAATTTTTTTCCTAACAAATCTTCGAATATATATCTTGATATACGTTCTCCTCTTGAACATGGGCATAGAGGACACCAGTCATACCTCTTCGTAATAACTTCTATTGGCCTCTCCCATAAGTGCTTCCTATGACACGAGAATAAGAAAGTTGTAGGTCCAGTTTGGATGTGACATTTTCCTCCACGTTTTTCGGCATAAGTTTGGGCTTCTACAAGATTAGACATGTCTATACTTATGTATATTAGAAAGAAAAAAATCATAAAGATATAGTTGAATTGATATCAGAATGAAATATTTTTATGTATATCATGTCGATGAGATCAAACCACCGAAAAAATCTTTAGATGATGAAGATGCTCCAAAATGGCCTTTCTATATCGTGGTATCTGGGAGATCGAACACTGGTAAGACCAATATGCTGTTAAACCTCTTTCTCGGGGATAAGTATTATGATATGAAAGAGGGAAAAAAGAAAATTGGTGAACGTCCTATAAGGTGTAATGATATTGTATTAGTAGGACACTATATTAATGAACCCAAATACCGATTAATTCGAAACTTCTATAAGAAAATAGCAGATCCTTCCAAACCGTATTATGAAGATGTTACTTTTACTGCATTTACACCTGATAAAATTCCAGACCCAAAGCAGTTTAAAAATCCAAAAAGACGTACAGTAATTATCTTCGAGGATCTGTGTACTGAATCTTCAGCGATCCAAAATCGTATCATTCCATTTTTTAATAGAGGATGTCATAGCAATATCTCCGCCATTTATATTTCGCATAAATTTACACAAGTACCTCTAATCATCCGTGAAAATGCAACCCATCTTGTACTATTCAATGGGGGAGGGTCGAAAGATTCCATTCGACGCATTATTCGTCAATATATAGAAGAAGATCCACGTGAAGCTTCCAGAGTCATTAATAATTATTTGCGGAATGGTGAATTTATTGTCTTTGATACTACTGTACCAATTTCCAATCCTATGTCCATCAGAGTCGGATGGATGAATCCTCTAGATCTGGAAAAAGAGATCAAGTCATTGACTGCGTAATAAAGATATGATGGGTGATGCGATAGAAGAGGTACCTACAAATCGTTGTAATATACATAATTAACACTTGAGTATCTGAAGTATAATTTATTACTTCGAAATTGGTAATCCATCATCAGATTTAAATGTGGTTGAGTCGTGCTAGAGTTGAGCTAGAGTCGCGCTAAAAAATTTTCTATATAGTTATATGAAAAATGATACACTCATGCTTGAGTCACGCTAGAGTCGCGCTAGAGTCGTGCTAAAAAATAAATTTCCTGACCATATCTTTACAAAAATCTGAAGAGATCCATAAATATTTTTGACAGTAATAGTAATATATGGGAAAAAATCGAAATATGATTTTATGAATCTAAACCATGTGCGGTTAATCCAATTTTAGGGATCCCTGCATATAGTCGCACAAGACATCAACTGACCATATTTGCACGATGTATATAGATGTTCTACGAACTTAGCCAAATTAGTTTGATGACATAAATCTAGATGTTGCAAAATCTAAGTAACAATATTTTCGGTTTACATGGGAATCTGGTACAAAAAAAGATAACATTAAATAAATAAATAATTGATATGTTATAAATTGCTAACTTGGCGCATTTCTGCTCGAATATTCTGTAAGCACGCATAATGCAAAGCGAGTTCAGTCGCCGTCAATCCATCTGGGCAATAAATCCACTCCACAACCTTCCTTTGTATTTTAATACATGCTCTAATCTTTTTCCCAACTTCTCTTGCACGTTTGATCCGTCTAATTGCATTTGTCATCCATAATTCATAGCGACGTAATGCATAGTTGTCATCATATTTACGTGCGGATTTGGGTTTTTGTATGATTTTTTGGTATTCTCCATAACTCACACCACAGTATTTATTTCCAGTACAATGAGAGGCCCAATGCTTTTCCATTCCAATATGATTATAGTTATTTCCCATATTTATGGTCATTTTCCCAGTATATACTAGTTGATCGCAGGAGAAGCAGATCGCCATTCCAATTGCAGGCGCGTAACTACACCACCTCATATTTAGTTCTGACCACCATTCTTCTAGCTTCCTAGCTTCAAGATATTTTTTGCTTCCTCTGGTAGGTAAAAGGTTGTTATCCCTGAAATACTGCAAGCAAGGCCAAATTCGTGATTTCCAATCTCCAGGAGTTTCATCAGTACGAACTTGTGGCATCCGACAATATTCATTCCATTCATCATCACTGCATTTAGAACCAGAATGAGCTATTAATCTGCTAAAATTATCCATTTATATGACCTATTTATGTGTTATAAGATAGTGTGTTATAGGTGTATATGATTTAACGAGTTATAGTGTATTTAGGGTTTTAGACCTATTAATTTTATCAAGTATATACATATCTAAAACTGATTCATTTTTTGTGTAATTCTAGTTGAGGAAACAAAGCTTCAAATATATAATTAATCTTCACTAACATTTCCAAAAGTGATACTCAAAGTTGATCGTGAACCATGGTTCATGGTAATCACGTTTGTTACATCTCGGAGTCTGAAATCGGGTATGATAAAAAGTCTGATTAATTCAGGTTCTATATGCGGAGCATAGGGTCTCTGACCCATATCATTAAATTATTTTCAATTTCGTGATAAAGTATGCATTAATTAATTAAAAATGAGTGATGATTATTAATTCAGAAACTCACCATTAAATTGTCCACAATAGCAGGATATGAATTCCATTCACCTGAATATGTATAACTGTGCCAAAGGTTTAATCTATAAAAACAAGTTATAGGTTAATATCAGAGTACTATAAATTTTATATTTTGAAAAAAAAAATCATTCGCTAAAAATGGATACCTTAAGAAGATTCACTTATGAAATAATTTTTTATGAAACAACACCTTCTTCTATTCCATCTGATATGAGCCAAAGGCTCGAAAATATATTATCTCTTAATCCCGAAGAACCTAACATTTGTCCTGTATGCGAAATTGAAATTTCTCCACAACTTAGTGTACCGATTACAATATTAGTGTGTAAACATATTTTCCACCATGATTGCATCGTAAATAGAACATCTACTGATTGTCCAATATGTGAAATGGTAGCCGAACCAAGTCAGACTTCTTTCGTGGCTGATATATTAGGGGAGAATCTACAAATAAGCTCATTAGGAAATCCATCAGAAAAATTACAAGAATCGTCAGAGGAGGATGATGAAACCAACAATGAAGGATCATCAGAAGAGGTCTCATCAGAGGAGGAATCATCAGATGGGAAAATTCTTGAAGAAACACCAAAGCAACCTATAATTACACGTGGGCAAAAAATAATACAGGATTTAATATTAGAATTATCTGTACCTACTGAAGGTGTTGAGATCGCTGAAACTAGTAGTAATGAAGAGCGTTCTAATACTGAAACTACAAACCCTTCAGCACTGACTATTGCCCAATTTTTCCAAAGAGCGTTACAAGCTGAAAAAGATGCGATTAAAGGGAATCAAAAAGAAATTCAGTCCTGGTATTGGTATGCTGAGATGCATGAAAACAAAGTTAACTATATATTAGCTAATGAGCGTGTCACTATTAAAACAGCGAGAAATATGGTATATAAGGAAATATTAAACCCATCTCCCAGACATCACAGCAGAGAATCTACGTAAGAAGACGCAAAAAGCAAAAAACATATATAAGTTGTTTAGTAAGATAGGGGAAGATAAGATTGGTTTAATTGAATCATATAGCACAGATTCCATCTCTCATCTCACCATATCTCAAATTCAAAGTATCATAGACCATTTTTCATCTGGATCGTAAATGTATAGCATACTGAAGTTTCGCTGCATATAAACAACAATTCGTTGTTTTACGAACTTTAAAAAATAAAAATGAATTTTTTGGAATTTTCAAAAAAATCTTTAACTCGAAAATT